CCTCTCCGCGCCGCCCCGCAGTCACGTCTTTCTCGCTCGCCCGCCTGCCGCGCCTGCCCGTTGCGCCGTCCCGCTGTGCACTCCGCCCACGTCGCGGACCTCTTCAAGGAGATCGAGCCCGAAAGGCCACGACCATCCGCCCCCCTCCTCCTCCTCTCATTTCCCCTCTTTACTTCCCTCTCCCCCTCTTTCTCTGGCTCTCCCCCCCTCTCTCTCTCTCTCCCAGCTGCGAGATCTCTGCTTGCGGACAGGTGGTTGCCCAATTCTGGATCCACTCCAAGCCCTTTCGCGTGTTGGAATATAATGTGAGTTTACCACACTCGTATTTCAATAATAGTTGGCGATAGAATTTAAACGAAGATATGCGTATTATATGGTGTAAATGAGCTTGAACAAATAATTAGTTGGGACAAAGTGTCTAATCTTCAATATTTAACTATGAACGGTTAAACATAATTTCATTCGTAAACAAAATTTAAACTTTTGCCTTATTCGAGTTTTCGGCTATTTGTTAGTATTATCTTTTTGTATTATCTAATGATATTTACATCGTTATTTTTGGTGAAGATTGTATGCATTTTATATCATTTCTATCTACATTTTCAAAATTATTTTCAGATCACTTTTCAACAACTTAGTAGGGTAGCGACCTCCGTCGTTTTTTAACGGTAGGAAGAACTGTAAGGAATACATACACGTAAGGACAACACAAACACACGCATCATCGATGCCCGAGGCGGGATTCGAACTCGCGACCCTTCGAGCCGAGACAGCTACGGCCCTTCAGCTTTAACGACCTCGGCTATCCAGGCTAGCTATCTACCTTTTATTATCGAATCAAAAATAATCGATAATTCACACCCGTCGTTATTGGTATTGAAAAAACTTCTCAACATACATTATTACGAAAGCAAGAGTCTTAATTCTAATCCTTTTGTTGTTCACCGTTTAATATGTTAAGCAAATAAATTTGAAGACTAATCACTTGTGTAATGTTCGTGACACTTAAATAGATCCCTACCTCTAACTTGATTTAATGAAGGTTAAGAAGTCAAAGAGGAGACAACGCTGTAATGGTCATGAATATTATAGATCTGTCCTGAAAGCACTCTCAGAGGGTGGAGTGTCTTGTGTACCCAATGCTTTAAAATACGCCCTTTAGCTGTCAGCATCCCTAATTAGTTCAAAGTTGATATTCAGTGCATAGAATGTTGCAAGGTATTCCAGATTTAGTAACTTCCTGACATTTATTCGCGAAATATTTTCGCGTGACTCATATTGTAAAGAAGCTTATATGTTGTATGATACAGTGGTATGTATATAAATTGGGATGTTTTTGAAATTGTTTTTCGAAGTAGTATATATGAAATTCAACGTTGGAAACAATTCTAAAGAAATTAGCTCATTGAAACACGTAGAACGAAACCGATAACTTTAACTAGTATTCAAGAACATTTAATTTAAAGTTATGTTGTGCGTTCAAAAAATTTCAAATCTCTGAACTTGAGATTTTCTGATGAGAATACTACATTTCTGCTGTTTTCCCGTTACAGATATTCACCCTAGGGACAAACACGGACTAATAAAAAATGTACAGAGTTTATAAATTAGAAGTAGAAAATTTACCAACACGTGGAGCACGCCAGAGTTGCCATAAACCGAGTAATGAAATATCGGAAGTGGTCACACGAAACACGCCAATAGCCTGCAGCATCTCGAAAAGTCGTCAGCAGAAAGGGGTGTGGCAACGACCGTATCCACCGAAGAGGAAGGTCTGCTGGGGCCTCGACAGCTTCCAGCGGCGGTCACTTTACGAGGTGCTTTGCGTCGCTGATGACCAACACGAGCTCATCCACTTCCCAGAGGGCATCGCGGGGTACTCCTGTTGGCAATCTTCCTTGTGCACCGTCGTCATGGGACGATTCAGTTCAATGCCTTCCGACGACTGGTGGAACCAACACGAATCGATATCAAGTATGTTGTTTTTTGTCTTATCATGGGGCTGAAAGGTTTAACTAGTTACATATTTAAATTAGCCTCTCAGTTCCTTGAATTCACTGAATTGAACTGAAAAACTAACTTTTAAAAATATTTAAAACTAATTCGCTGAATAGACATGTGCTATTTCATTAACTAATATTCCCAAAGTAGGGTATTTCCTAATCCGGAGACCTGAATTTCACGAATTCTCAATATACACGTTAGGGCATCGTAATATTGTACTGCAATATTGATTTTCTTTGAAAACTAATTATGGTCAGGTAAGTGACAAACAAAACAAATATGAAACGCATTATTTTCATTCTCAGCGCCTCCTTCTACTCACCGCAAAATATTCTACGTAATTAGTGGACCTCGTATATTGTTTTTCCGAAAAATTTCTTCTTCTTGTCTATTACATTGTGAGAAACATTCAAATGACTATAGAAATCAATCGTATTAATCCATAGGTTATTTGTAAACATGCAATCTTTTTCCTAAGAATCTTACCATGTGCCTTTCAGATCAACGCTTCCCCATATTTTAATGAGTTAGACGTTGGAGACGATGGTGCTTCCCAGGTTATGATCACCCAGGCTTCAAGCATTCAGATCAAGTCTCCTCAATCCATTATATAAGTGAAGACATTGTGAATCGTAAGTGGAAGTTCTGCAAGACGTGACCAACGCCCACGGTTCTTGATCGTCACCACCGAAGTCTTTTGTTTTTGTGTTATTTATCGACTTGAAGGAGCACGAATGACGAACCACATCGATTCGCACCTGAATGGCTGAAACCGGTCGCGGAAGTCCGCGCAAGGGTCTGGGCATCCGCGCGCATCGAGGGGAACTTCGCGAGCGCCGACGCAGTCGCAGCCGCACGCGAGCCAAAGGTCGGGGCGAAGAGATCTTCTCGGATTGGAGCCCCGTCACCGACATCGGTGTGCTCGTGCGCCACGGCATAATTCGCTCCTTGGAAGAAATCCACGTGCTTTCGCTGCCTATCCGAGAGCACCAAATCATCGACTTTCTCTTCGGGGATAAGCTGAAAGACGAAGTTCTCAAGATAATACCCATCCACAAGTCAGATGATGACCGGCAAACGAAGTTCAGAGCAATTGTTGCAATCGGCGACTGGAACGGGCATGTTGGGCTAGGTATAAAATGTTCGGAACACGTTACCGCAGCCGTTTATGGAGCTCTTGTTTCGGCGAAACTGTCGGTGGTGCCGGTTCGACGAGGACATTGGGAAGGGAAAACAGGAGAACCACATACAGTCCCCTGCAAAGTGATGGGGAATTGCGGCTGGAAGAGAGTTCGTTTAATGCCTGCGCCTCGGGGGACGGGAATTATCGCAGGTCCGACTCCCAAGAAAATACTGCAGATGGCGGGCATCCAAGATTGTTACACTTCCATCAGTGGGTCTTCAGGAACGTTGATCAGCATCATCAGAGCTACATACTCAGCACTTGCGAACACTTACTACATTCATCTCAACACCGATGATAAAGACCCTAAAATATTATCACAGCCAACCAATCAAGATGCAAAGAATGTTCCCAAACGCCGAATAAGTGCTACTGTATGTAAAGCGTAAGTGTAACTTCGCGCAAAATGATTTTAGTCTAAGAAGAAATGTTCGAACTATTCGAGGCTTTATCACATGTACATCACATGCATATAACATTGTATCACTAAATTTGTTTTATGTAAAATAAAGTAAAACCCCTTAATGTACTATCGAACACTTCTGAGGCTTGCTTATTTCAAACTAATTTTAATTGTACATGCTCATAAGTTTCAATTGTTAAATTACACTGAGATTTGAACATTCCATTCGTCTTGGATGTACGTTGAATGTGATAATTGTAAAAGCAAATTGAAACATACATACACATTTTTCACTTAATCATACGTGACTTATATAATATGTTTTGGCGTTTAAGTTGCGACAATATGTCACACGACAAAAAGTTGGTAAGCTAATTTTTAAGATAACTCCTGATAAACTGATATATTTAGTTAGTGAGTATTAAAAATATTCTTATACTCTACGAAAAATCAGGCGAGTATTTCAACTTGATCCAATTTGAGGATGAAGGATGTTTTATGCGCCTATTTTAATGCGGATTCCGAATTCTATCATAATATTCCTATTCTATCATTACTTTTTATAAATATGTTATTAAGTTTATCATAATGAATGAATAGATATACTGTTATTATTAACGTTTATACAAATCTATAATCAAATACACAAAAGCTATGCTAAATGCATGAATTTGTTTTTTCTATTTTACATTTATTTATCTTTAAATAAGTTCAGTGTTTAATGTTCTTACGGGAAGTACAATAGTTAGGCAGAACTTCATTTAAAATTGAATATTTCTTCGAGTGCGAGTTTCTCTTCTTCCTATTATACTCTTGTGATAAGAGAAAGAAGATTTTAATAAGCATATGTGGCTGTCAAGAGAGGCTTTCAGTGTTTGCTTGATTTTTCTAAGGGTGCTCTAAATTGTAAGTTATCTAAATTATTGAAAATCTTACCAACACATCTATTTGAGTTGTAATATAATGAATTATTAGATAATTGCATTTTTATTTCTCTTCTTTAACATCTAAAGGGCTTTACTAGCTTGAGCAAACCATTTATAATGATGCTAACTAAAAATGCGAGTAAACAAGAAAAAATTATATCTTTCTTTTGACCGTCAATGTAACTTTTCTTTTTGATAGAGGGTTAAAAAGCCACCCAGGATGTTGTCTATCAAAATTAAGCGCTCTCATAAAACATAAGAGAGCATTTCTACAGTATGTCCCAGCAGATAAAAACTGCAATCGTTCGTGCTAAATTAAACAATTCGTACCTAACTCACGAAAGAATCCATAGGGATTTTATGTCCGTTTGCCTACAATATTTGGGCCGTAGGGTACTCCATATGCACTATACTGAAAATAGAAATCCTAAAAGTACAGTGTGATGTACTTGTTCTCTCAAATTAATTAAATGAGGGAGGTTTTCAAATTAGGGAACAATACAATAGCTATTGTTTTTCAAAATAGAATTAAAAATTATTCTGAAATTGAATTTGAAATGTCATATTTAGTACTTACCTGAACCGTACATGCTCGTTGTTATTGTTGGCTAACACCCTCCCAAAGCAATCTAAAGATGCCTTAATTCCTGCTCTCCACCTTAACTTAAAAAGTAATGCATCGCTAATTTTTATAATTATAATGACAATGGAAATTATTATCACGATTACTGCAAATTGGGTTTATTTATACACACTCGCTAATATTTTCTTATATAAACAGTCAATATCCAAACTTTGATCATCTTTGTTTCGCCAACTTTAAACTCATTGTGCAAGGATATTCTTGTATTTCATTGTATTGTAGTTGATCTCGAAAATGACGTATTGAACAAATGATTTCAGAAAAACGTTCATTCTGTAACTTTTACGACTTTATTCAAATTTAGTGTTCGTGCTGTAAAGTCGGTGAATAATAGCAGGCGAACACATCTGGGACCCACTAAAATTCAAACCAAAATCACGAAATTTGATTTGGTAGAAAGCTAAAATTGCTCTCTAAACGAAAAGCTATGATTTAAATATAAAGATTTAAGAGAAAAAGAATATACTTCTGGCGAATGATTAGCATCTACCTACATATTGCATCTAACACATTACACGTGCTCTGTCCTACTTTCTCGAAATAATAGTAAATATAATATAATTGAATACATTTATAAGTATATGTCTCATGACGTGGGAAAGATATTTGGCACGTAATATGAGGTTTAAGAATGAGATAGAAAAGGTTACGGGGGAGGATGGGAAATTGGTTAATGCAGGGCAGGAGCATGAAACATAATGCAGAGCAGAACAGAGACGATGCAGAGGAGAGAGACAACGGGACAGCGAATCAAAAGACCAACAGGACAGATCTGCTGAGCCTTAACACTATCAAGTAATTCCCTTAATTAAATAACGTTTTAACAGGGTGCTTCGTTTCGATACGAGGATAGAGTGTCGCGACCGCTTTTAGACCATTCATCTAGTTGAATATTGCTTTTTAGACAGCCACTAGTAAAAGCGGCTCTTTTATGACATGTGCGAAAAATTCAGACAAATCTGTGAATGCAATGAAGAATACAAAGTACTTTCGTCTGACCGCATCAGCTACTACTGACCTTAATAAATTATGACGTGATTAGTATTCTTGGATTAAAATAAAATCAATATCAGTCAGAGTGTCTAAAAATAGTGTATGATTCACGTAATAAAAGTGATTTTATTTTGCTTGTGGGATTGTGCCACTGGGCCTCGTGCCGCAACATTCCTAACTCGCAAACTAAACTGTCACTTTTACCACTCGTATCATAAATAACTATTTTGTTGGCGCATTTGCATCCGCGCGTTGTGTTGGTTAGGGCACGCATTAATTTCCTTTAAAAAGAATTTGACAATTCTTTTGACAGGTTGTTTGAGATTTCAGAATGAAACTTAGAAGACGTCGGTACGATGCGGGCTAAACTCAGAACAGGGCAGGACAAAAAAAGAGGGAGTGGACGCAAAAGACGAACATCGGAATAACTACGAGTCAAATGGATAACGAGGCATCGAAACATTAAGAGACAGAGGGATGGCATGACAGCGGAACGGCGAGAAATGTTCAGCGAGAAGATGAGGAAATGGTGGAAGAGCGAGTCAAAGGGTTAGCAGGACGGTGGGACATTGAGACAATGAAACTACGAGACAATGAGTCATGGAGCATCAGAAAGTCGAGGTACTGCAACAGGTGCAAGGCAAGACATCGGAACATTGAGATAGCGGCAAGGAGAGACATCGGGTCATGGGTTATGCGGACGAGGAGGCGCTGGGTCAGTGATATGGCGAGGCACTGGAACATGGATACTACGAAGTATCGGGACATCGGTAAGACGAGACACTGGGATAGCGGTATGGCGAGACACCGAGACATCAGGACATCGGGAGATCGACGTATTGAGTCAGCGGCACAGCGAGACTTCGGAGCAGAGGACTGAGACACTGAGACAGCGGTGCAGCGAAACATAGGGGCATTGGAACGTCGAGGCACTGAGACAGAAGCACGCCGAGGCTTCGGGACATCGAAATAACGAGGCACTGAGACAGCGGCGTGGCGAAGCTTCGTGACGTAGAACGACGAGGCACTGCGGTAGCGACATCGGGATATCGGAAGGAATCGGCAGTGTGGCACCGGCACAGGAAATCATGGAGGCATGGGGCTTCGAAATGGCGAGGCACTGAGGCAGCGGCTGGACGAGACCTCGGATCGTCAATGCACTAGGCCAGAGGGGTCGGCAGCCAGGCAGCTGGCGTCTGCGCAGCGAGAAGGCGCGGCGGCGGATGTTCGACGTTCCTTCGGCGTCGACGGCACGAACGTACGCGTGCAATCGCCTTAAATAGCACAATTACAAAGGAACGTGCGCGGAGCCGGCGCGCGCGGGCGAGCATGCGAGGCGGCGAGCGGGCGGGCGGCCGGGTGCGGGCGCCGCCGCCAATTTACCCAGATCTGCATGCCGCGACCGCCGCGCCCGTGCATCTGCTGCCCCGCGCATGCGCCCGCCTTCCGGCCGCGGCGCCGAGCGCGTGGGCGAGGATGCGGGCCTGGGCACGGGCGTGAGCGAGGGCGTGAGCGAGGGCGTGGGCGTGGGCGAGGGCGTGGGCGAGGGCGTGGGCGAGGGCGTGGGCGAGGGCGTGGGCGAGGGCGTGGGCGAGGGCGAGGGCGTGGGCGAGGGCATGGGTGAGGGCGAAGGCGTGGGCGTTGGCGACGGCAAGAGGGCGAGGGCAGACCCAACAGTCCTTAGATATAGAGTGTATGTAGTCCATCCATTTGTGCCGCAGATTGCATCATACGGTATTGTGGGTTAGTTGGGAAACACCCATTTACCAAAAACCAATAATAATATATTCAAAACTCTCCATAATGCCACGAACTTATCTTTTCTCCTGACCCCTGAATGCTGCCAGGCGGAGTTATTAGGTGAAAAATTGGTGGCGGCTGTTCGGATAGAGCAACTTTCGCGATCTAGGGATTCTACCGAAAGCCGTTACGCCGAAATTAAGGCGTGAAGTTGTTGCAGCTCGCGCCTCCCGACATGGCGGAATGTGCGGAGAATGAACAGAGTTTTAGTACACTGGAATGTTCAGTTCGGGCGTCAGTCAGAAAATTTAGGGGAGAGGTAATTTTTTTGTCTTAATGTACTTCAACAAGACCATATAAAATAGGTCCAACAAACAGGTTTAGTACTCCAGGTTTTTTTGTGTCCTACATAGATCCCCCTCAATATTTTTGACGTGAACTAACCACCTCTATGCGGTCGGACCAGCCAAAGCTGACTAGTTTTCTTACTTTAGCACAAACTTCATGTTTTCGTTGGTCGGTCATTTATCGACATAACTTTAACTAATATTTTATTTTGACATAACACCCCCTGGCACGCATGAATGACTGGCAGAACATGTTCTTGTGAAACTTTGGAACTTTTACTACACGCACAAAATTTCAGACGAGATGACATCACAACAAATAATTTTACTTCGCAAGGTTTGAAGGTCCCCATAGCTCGAAAGCATCCCTGGCCGAATGTCGGTATTAATTTTGGTTAACGCTTTAGATTTCGTCCACGAATTATAAAATGGGGTTGAACGAATAATCTTTTCGAAACTATATCTTTGGGACTACAAGGAGTACGGTTGACATCACCCAATGAGATGTAAGTATTCTAAACGTTTTTTGGGAGTATGATTGTTAAAAAATTAGAGTATAGATCACACTCCAAGGAACATAGATAAAACATTGAGCACGAAATGATATTTCTAAAGATTCTGCGTTTGCTCTTTGAGCCCATTCCATCATTGGTTTCGTTTTTACATTCATTCTTTCATTTAATATTCCTTTGTTGAGAAATTTGACTTTTTAGAACTGCTTATTACATTTAGAATGTGTGATATAAAAATACTTCAATAATTCAAACCTTTTAAAACATATTTTAATTAGCCTTTATCCTCCTATAGAGATCGTTTGTAGGCAAATTCTTCCGCGAATATAGTGAATATATCTTAATTATGAATAATATTTACAATTAAATATATATATATATATATATATAATTACCAATATAATAGGGAAATATTTGTGTTATTAAGGAATTCTACTATTAAGACCTCTGTTGGTTTGCGCGTTGGCATTGGCCTCGTGGATGCCGGCAGAGAAGTTGCGTGTCCGTGTCTGGTCACGAACTCTGGCCTTCACAAACGAGCTGATTCAGCAGCAGCGTGACAGCGACGTGTTGAGGTCACGCCACGCTCGAAGTGCCATAATCTTTACACGTACTGCGACAGAACGTGGTGTGTTTGTACGATTCGCACATCCAGTATGGGCGTCAGCGAACAATCGTCTTGACTAAGGTACTTGACGTGAAGTTATAGATGAATGGAGACACGTGAGGCACTTTCTGCAACATTACCGAAGGCTTTGTTCTGTACGTGCTTTTAGACTGAATTCTGTTTGCTGTGTGTGCTTTTGTACTAAGTACTGTTCTCCTTATTTAAAAAGGATCACTGTCAAATGTACGTCATGAACAAGTGTGCATTTTTGTCAACTGGAAGGTCGCATAAAATACTGATTCAGTTGTATGTTTGCATTGTGTTAGAATTTATCTCGTAAAATGAAAATTTGTAGACACAATATTACATCAAAATAAATTAAAACTCATTAATCTTGACTTCAACTGATGCAACAGGTTTTTTATTAATTTTATAATCAACTAAATAAGTTTTTAAGGACTGATATAAGGAAGAGTTATTTGAAAAGTATAGAAAGAAAACCTTTAAAACAGACGATGCAACTGATTGGCATTCAAACGCGGCCACACATAGCCTCACCAAAAATATCTACGCAAACGCATAAAACCGATTTTAAAAGAATAGCTTGCTTGTGACAATATTTAATTTATTAAATGCAATGTCATAATTAAGTTGATATGTACATACACTTGTAAAGTAGCCAATGAAACAGTGAGTATTAAACGTGAACTATTTATTATATCTTCGAAATCACCCATCTGAATACACAAAAAGCTTGAAACATTAATCTTCTAATTCAATCGGTAAATTATAGTTGAATTATGCTTATACCTCCGCATTTGGAATAGCCTGGGACAATCATACGAAAATCCCCGCCAGCGACAAGAAATCTCTAGCAAATCGTAAATGTTAATATGTTTATTTTGGTCAGTGTTTCTTGACATGTTACTGTCCCAACTCTTGATTACAATGAAATTCAACGAAACTTTTAGTTGATATATACAGCGTGATAAGGCAAGGACATCAGCGGGATGTTTCCACAGAGATGGTTGGTTTGTGGAAGGCACGATATGGCACGGCGGGTACGTTCTATACATTTGTTACTTTCAATTAACGCGAAGCATCCTCCTGGGAGCAAAACAATTGAATTGAAGACGCGCGTCGACGGAACTGCGCGCAGGGGGCGCTCCTTTAATTCCGCAGGCGGAGACGACGACGGCGCAGCGGCGTATCCAGGGCAGTGGGGAAGCGACTTGTGGAGTGCGATCCCGCCCCCGCCGCGGCCCCGCCCCCCTCGCTCCCGCAGCCGCCCGCGCCGCTTCAGCGCTCAACCAGCCCGCGCTTCCGCCCCTCCGCCCACGCCCCACGCCGCATCGCGACCACCGTTACACTCCGCCACCGACGCCTCAACCGCCATCGCCGCGATCTCAGACGAGGGTCGTGTCGCCGTTGTCGTTGCCATCGACGGCACCGCCGCACTCACACACTCGTGACCTTTTTATGTTAAAATACATTCTTTGCCAAATCCTTATTACTCACCATATTCGCTCCGCCCCAGAGAAAATGTGGATTAATGTGGCCGAGATCACCTTCGTTGGTCCCTGCCTATACTACTAGAGGGAAAATATGACGCACCTTAGTGTGACTCGTGAACTCTAACTTTCTTTTTCAAACTAGTTTGAACATTTTATTATTTTCTGATTGACAATATACACACGGATTACAATTGTTTTTAATTTTCCAAGGATTGTTAATAATTAAATGTTAATTTGCCTGAGGATATTTTCCTGTTTACGGCTTCTTTCAAAGGAAGGTTTTTGAGCGTAAGATCCCAATGCAATTATAATTTTGTTTT